AGCTTCCTTGCGTGCACGCGTGGGGCTGGCTTGTACTGCCAGCCGCAGTGGGGCGCGCTGCAACCGCATCCCTGGCTGCCTCCTCCCCGCAACATCCAGGTTCTGAGCTCAACGCCCAGGACGCCTAGGAGCAGGGGAAGGAGATCAGCTGCTTTGGGGAAACTCTTGCTTTAAGTCTTTACCTACATTGCGGCTCGCCTCTATCCTAGATAAAGGCCAGAGAACAAGCGTTATACTTGGTAGCACCGCATGGTTCATCGGGCCAGCAGCGAGCCCGGGCCCAATCCCCACAAAGGTGCTATCAAGCATCGCTGAAAAGACGAACAACTGCAAAATATATAAAATTTATTTTGTCAATTTATTTATATCAAAATGAAGCCCATTTCTTTCGTAGACAAAGTCTCTTCCAACTTCAGTGTGCTCTTCAGCAAAATGGAGGTTGACTAAAGTGGCCAGGGACATGTGATCCTGAGTGGGTTTCAGAGGATCGCTTAGGGGAAGCGATCCCCACCGAGCAGGTAAACGCTCTACATGAGGCTGCGCCTACACCTAGTGTATGCATGCCACTGTCCGGGCCGGGCCTCTTCTCCCGCCGCGCCGTGTCGCTGCCGACTGGGGCTCCGGGGAAAGCCCCAGCAAAGGTGGTGCCCAGCCCCAGTAGGTAAGGTACAGCTGGTTGTGTGTCTTGCATGCTCGGGCCTGCATACGAGCAGTTTCACTCTGCAGGCTCGGCCATTCCTGTTTATTTGCCATTACTTTACACGTGCTCTACATTTCGAGTGACTGCCAGAGCGTGCCAGCGCCTTCAGCCGGTGCCGAAGCACCGCTGCGGCGGCGGCGTGGAAGCCGCATCATGATTCCCCATTTGGGTCAGATGCGGCAACCGGCGTGTTGATTGCACTCATCCATCTACACGACTCGATATCGACTACATATACGGCTCCTTCTAACAATTTCCCTCTCGTATCATCGCCAGGACAGGCATATGCGAGGTGAACAGCAGCAGCCGTAGCAGCAGCATCCCGAGCCGCCGCGCGAGACGCAGCAGCGCCGGGAGCTTCCGCTCCAACAGCAGCCCACCACGTTCAACATGCCTTAAATTTTAACTAGGAATGGAATACCTGCCGTCTAGATTGTTCCGACGCTCATCTACTCCCTATCAGACGTTGCAGAGCCACTTCCCACGTGCTGGTTGTTTCCGGTCTCTTTCCTTGGGACGGTGTGAACAGCAGGCGGTTACGTGGTGCTTCTTCGAGTCATCGGCTTGCCGAGGTGAGATCAGTTCGACCGTTTTGAACGTTGCTAACGGTGTCCTTCCAGCGCCCAAATCTGCCTCAAAACCATGACATTTAAGTCTCTTATCAGCCCCGCAGTTTTTTCCCTGATCGAGAAGTCTCCAATTATGTGACGTTGTACATAAACTATTGGAGCCGATCTCCGGTATCTGATAAGGCCCTTGCAGCCAGCGCTCTTGAGTGACCGCATTGGTTACACGGGACGCAACGTTGGCAAATACATACGTCATGTATTTCTCCGTCGTTTCCTGCAGCACCGCTTCACTGGATTGGTGTCTCTTCGCTTCTTTCTTGTCGGAAAGCTTATTTCAGTCCGCTTACTCTAGGGCGTGTAATGCTGTTGTGAGCCCTGATAGGTGCGGTTTGTCACCATTATGAGTACATATACCTCAGTCAAGTTTTCTGCAGGCAGCAGGCGGGACCCTCACTCAATCGCCCAAGGCATGCTTGCTATTATCTCGTTGCGAACTGTGCCAGGGTAAAATCTCTGTAACATGGTAAAATTGTCGATTTCTGAGTACAGCCAGCATTCTGGGCAGATAGTTGTGCCTATCCTCTCGACATATCTGACATCAGCGAGGCCATATTGCAGCAATTGCTGATACAGCGCCAACGATTACAAAGGTAGGTAGCCTCAGATGTCGGATCGATGTCGCATCCTGCAACGAGTGTAAACGCACTTCCTACGCATTAACACACCGTTGGATAATCACATAGTTGACTCAGGGAGGGTGTTCAGGTGAGGAGATCACCTCTTCCCGCCCTGTAGCTGCGCCGCACGTTGCTTGGTAGACAAGACAATTCCCTGGTACTCTTGTTAGTTCCCCTGTATGTGAACCTCAAAACCATGACTTTCAAGTCTCTTATCAGCCCCACAGCTTTTTCCCTGAGCGAGAAGTCTCCAACTATATGACTTTGTGCGCCGCAAAAGAAGCAAATGCGCCCCTCTGCGCTTTTTCTTTGCTTTCTGAGTGCTATTTTCTCCACCTGTCGCCGGTTCTCTCTGTGCCGCTTATTGGAATCAAGGCTGACGTTCAATGCGCCGGTGAAACACCTTCCCCCTTCTCAGTTAGGCCGATGGAAGTGGAGTTTTTCCTCGTCGATGCTCAAGAACCCTCCGTCTAGCGATATACGAGGTGTCCCTTCCCAGGGGGGCAACCATATTGTGAAGCATTGATACAGAGGCACCGAGTCCACTGTGGAGGTTTTCCTCGACAAGAATTCATAATTTCAACAGTAGCAATATATCGATAGCTTCCCTTGTTGGAGTTTTCCCAATGCTGCCTTAGCCTGTTCCCTTGATGATCTCAGAATAAAACTACATTACTGTGCAGGTCCAAAAGTTTCCGCACTCGGAGTGTGCTCTTCAAGAGTGTTACTCTTGCTTATATATAGCCGCTGTCGTCGTGGCACCCCATCTAATGAAGATGGTAATTGCAAATACAGCTCTTCAGTTTCATTTGAAAGACAACCATACACCAGCATATCAAGTGCAGCATGGTCTGCGTGGAGGTTCTACATTTACTTCTATTAGGATCGAGGCAGATGAAGGCTGTCCAAGGAAGTGCGAAAACTGAGTACGCCTAGCAGTAACCAGTGCAACAAGAAGTACTGAGACCCATGAGACGCAACCTCCTCTCCGCGCCAGCGGCATGCCCCCTGGCTGCTGTGCAAAAAACGCCTGGAGGTGAATGGGGAGGCCGGCTGCTTTAGGAGAGCTCTTAAATTAGCTACACTTATTCTATTGCTGCTTAGGACTGCCGTCACCTAGGATCTACAGCTCGCTATACTGCCCGAGCTAAGCTCCTACAGGCGAGGCGATGTGGTTTTACTGAATGGGAATGACGTTAGTTGCTTTCTCTTCTCACGTCTTACAGTTGACACGGAAGGATTCGAATGCCAATCTGTGTTGATGGGTTTACTTAATTCGCGCCTACGCCGAGCGTAGTTCTGTCCACCCACAAGCAGCTACAAGCAAGGGAGCCTGGGGCTTACCCCCCAAAAGATCCTGCAGGGGGCGCCGGAGATCCCCCTGCAGGCAAACTTGCAAGGGGCCCGGGGGCTCCCGCTGCTGCGGAAGATGCGACAGGACCCGTTGCTGCTGAGCTTGCTGCAGTCGGCTGCTTAATATTTCGAGGTTTTGAGTACAAGGGGGGCTTCACGGGGCTCTTTCCCTCTGCTTGGTCTTTCCGCGCCTTCGTCCCTAGCAAGTCGGGCACAGCAGCATGTGCGCTGATGCTGAAATCAAGTCAGTTAAACGGGAATACGAGTGGAGTTAAGGTTTCTTCCATGTATTTTAGTTTAATAGTTTAGTTTAATAGTTTAGTTTAGTCTAGTAGAACGGGCGTTTGTATTGCGTTCGTGATGTGGCATTTTGCTATTTCTTACGCAGCGTTGCCCGTGCTTACATCTGATTTATAATGTCCTCGAGCCCAGCTCCGTACTGCCCCGAAAGCAAACAGTTCCATGTCCTTTCATCTTTGGAAACCTCAGACGGGATTAATTAACCTTACAGAGAGGAGCAGCCTTCGCGCCTCGTCAGGTGGCAGCTTCGGCGGCGGGGGCTGAGCCTTTCCTGTACACAGAAAAACGTGAATGAGTGTTTAGCGGTCTTAGTTAGTTATCTTTATCTTTTTTGTGTTTTCAAACAGACGGAACGACGGGAAAGGCAAATGATCAACCCAAGCGATGGCGTGTGTGGTCGCCGCAGACGACGACAGCTCACCGGCTGCCTCTTGGAGCTTCTGTTCCAAATCTGCGGTGTAATGGGGTCCATGAAATTTGTTTTATTTTGTAATATCGTGTTAAAGTTATTAAGAGAGCAGTGAGAATCAAAAGAAGGAAGAAACGAAAGAAAATGAGCAGAAGACAAGCAGAGACCGTACTGTGTTCCGCTTCCTCCTGTTCATCAACTTGCTCTTCTTTTTGGAGTTCCTCTTCTTCATTCGCCTGTCGTTTGCAAGCCCTTAAATATAAACTCTAAACTGCATCAAATTTAAATAACAACATTACCTCCGCATCTGCCTCTGCTTGGGACTCGTCGTCGTCAGCAGCGAAGCTCTCTTCGTCTGCAGTCTCGTCTTTGCTGCTCACGTTATATGCAGAGATCATACTGCAGCTCACCTTGCTGCACTAGTCGCGGCGCTGCTAGCTTTTGCTGTTGCAGCTTTTGCTGCTTCTGCTGCTGCTGCTGCTGCAGGTGCGGTGGTTGCATGTGGCTGCTTCCTTCAAGAAAGGGGGGAACTGCCAATTACTGAACAGGTGAACAGCACGCGGCATTCATCTTAAAATGAGGGTTTAGACAGAGAGAGAATAGAAGCACCTATATTCAGTCTTGCTCCTTCCTTCTTTCCCTTCTAAAGCATCGTAGATCATGACTGCTACGCAATCCAATCAAACGCTACCCTGCCTTACGTGTTTGTGTTGCGTTGCACCTGTAGCCGCCTCATCTGAAGCCATATACAGTCAATATGTGAACGCATATATAAGGTTCACATAAAGCTAAGCGTGCACGCGCATGTACGTATGAGTGCATGTGACACTTCGCTGCATACATATTCATGCATATACATATGGCTCTACGCGTCCGTCTATACATATAGATAGGTACGCATGAACATACACAGGCGTATATGCATCTGTATTTGTACTCATACCCTCTCTGATCTGGTCACGCTTTTCTATTTCGTATCCAACGCCGGTTGAGGGGAGCATTGACGGGTCCTCAAGTTCCCCATCTGCTTCCTGGGGTTCGAGGTGGGGGTCATAGAGGCTGTGCGCAACGACTGAGTCTTCGGGGTCCTGCATTTCAGATGGCTTCTTCACTTAGAATGAGACAGCGATTCAGCTTCAACACCAGTTCACCAGGTCTGGAACGTCGTAGGGGGGCCTCCGTGCGCGAGCTGAGATACCAGTGGTTGCGTGCGCAGTACAACATGCAATCAAATAGCTGCCTGTAGCCCAGCTGGTGTTGTTGTACGTACCTGCTGTGCTTCCCTCTCTCTCCGCCGCTT